ATATAAATTACTTGCGGGGAAAAGAACTACACAAAAGCAAACTCTGGTAAAATTACAAGAATTCAAATTAAACTTTGAATTGAAAGATATGGAACCCACAAGCACTTTGATGTATAAAATTACATTCAAAATGGAAATAAATTAGATTATCGGAGTTTCCTCTAATACTAAATCACAAAACATAAGAGAGTCAAATCCTGACAAATAAGTCAAGCAAATAAGGTAACTTGATAACATGGCTAGTTACAAAATAAATAATCTTAAAAGCAAAACTCTTTTCCTATTCTGGACAATATGGCAAAGTAAACTCAATTTTGAAACATGCCAGGAGGTGAGAGAAATATAAAGGACCCCAAAGTCTGACATTACAAACAAGAGAAACCCAAAGGGAGGTACAGGATGTCGGGTCTTGACCAAAGGCTGGACAGAGCGAGGCTGGCACCACCAGCAGGGATGGCTCTGGTTGACACTTTGCAGGGTCTGCCTCCTCAGGAAGGCACTACTGACTTTATCACCCCGGGAGGACAGGAAGGCATAGCCTCAGCAGGATGCCACCTACACCAGGGCAGGGGGCAGTGATACTGTGGCAATGTCCCAGGCCAGTGGGGGCAAACCGCAAAGAGTAGCTGATCGTGCTGGGCCTGAGGAATGTCCCCTCGCCATGGGTGATCATGCATGTGCCTATCTGAGGAGAAGAAAGAGTGTCAAAGACAAACACATTCATTGCTTTTCGCAGCGGAGTTCCAGGAACCCGTGTTGGCCTGCAGTTTCTAGCCCCAGCTTAGAGCACCGGCGTGACTTCATCTGCAGTGGAGAACGTGAACCAGAGACACACTGAGGGACGCCTGCTGTGCACCACGGCGCAGTCTTCCCCCACCATCACACTGCGCACTTGTACACACCAGCTGCTCTGTACCATCCCGACCATCACCACAGCCTCCCCACAAGCACACCACACCACCCACACCCCTTATGCAGAGCACATACACACAGACCCACCGTGCCCCACACCACACCTGGCTATTGGTACATCACACAGACCCGACCTCATCCACCACAAAGAGCACCACATACACCACCCAAAGCCCTGCCCTCACACCACACACACACACACACACACACACAGACATATGTGCACACTTGCTTCTCGTTCTAAGAGTCTATTTGTCTGCAGCATAAACCAATGACTCTTCTAACAGTTTTGGTCTCATATCTAATCCAGGGCCCACACACACAATCATGAGACAGAGTGAGGAAGGGCTCTGAGGGGGCCTGGGAGAGGGAGCGTACTGCTGGGAAGTCATCGCTGCCTGTGCTGCTGTTGCTTGGGGAGCAAAAGGTTGCCCCTTCCGATTGGGGAATGGCTCGGTGCCCTCCGGCCTCTGCCACCCCTGCAGCATCCACACTTCTCCACCCACGTCCCCTCTCCTCCTGCTGAAAATCCTTCTGAAGCTGAGCCACCCCTCCCAACTTGCACTGGCCGCCCTTTGTGAGCAAGTTTCTCCAAACTGTCGCCTTCCATCTGGCTCGAGGACCCTGGGGAGGACAAATGCCTTCAAGCTGGAGCAGGAAGCAGCAAAGGAGCCCATCTGTTCGCCTCCACATTTGCCTGTGACCTCTTGTTGTGTCCACAGAACCATGGGAGATATGTGTGGCTCCTTGGTCCCTCCTAGCAGAAGGTCCCCAAGGCACTAGTGCTGGGGGCATGCAGCGCCTCTGTGAGGATCCCCATCCCCACTGGGCCAGGCCTGGGAAGCTGGTTGGCAGATACTCAGCCCCAGCGTTGGCCAGAACACTCAAGGGAGAGCCCAGGAGCTGGGGGCTACTGGGGAGTGGTCCCCACGGATCCCCTCACACCACGCTCAGATCTCAGCCAGAATCTCTCTGACCCACAAGTTGCCACAAAAATGCTCTCCAGGAGAGGCAGGAGGCAGAATTCAAGGCAAGTATGCCAAGAATTAACACAGTATAGAATGGAAGCTTCCTTTCCCCTTTATTTCTTGAAAATGTCATCAAAGGAAATAGATTTTAGAAATACTGAGAATCCCAAATTGGGCTTTAGCTTCCACAGACCTGGCTATGCGTCCCTACTGTTCGTGCTTGCAATGGAGGCATGGTGTCACTCGGGAAGGCAGGTCTCTGAGGACACCCACGAATGTCTGTGTGATTCGTGATGTTTATTGGGCTTAGGGGCTGGCTCTTAACAAAACCCAGGGTCCGGGTGAGGGAACACACGACAGCGGAGCACAGAAGGCCAGGTGGTCACTCACTTGTAATCCCACCTCTCCGAGGCCAGATCTTGGCTCGCTTTACACCTAAACTGGGAATAACAATCACATCTACTTTCCACAGTCACTGTGCGGGTTAAAATGAGATAATACAACTGAACTGGGTAGCACAGCTCCTAAATCATCACAAATAAATGAAGATGAGCCTGTCATACCCTACTGATTGATCAGAGCCATTGACTGAATACAGAAGAGGGCTTAATGCTGGGAGGTGGTAGAAGTGCAAATAAAATCTCCACACCCCTTTGCACCCTCCTCTGCCCCTCAGTCATGGGTGTGGCTGTCTGGCTGCCCTGGAAGTGGCAAGCACATTCCGGGGGTGAGGACCTCTTGCCAGTGCAAACTTCAGGACATCTCCAGGCCCCGCGCTTGCTTGCTGACACTCTGCTTCCTGCTCCGGTGTGAGGACACATCTGCCCGTCTCTCCCTGCCCAGGTGAAGACCAAGTTGAAGTTGTGTGCTTCCCTTCCCTCCTAGCTGGCTGACAGTTTCCAGGGATCTTCCTTGGTAACAGGTGGGGCTCTCTCCCGGGCTCATGGAAAGCCTTCTCCCCTCACCCAACTGCAGAGGGGAAGATACTACTGCATGTCAAGACGCAGTGGTTGCTCCTTGTATGAATGACCAAAACATGAGCTCCTGGAGACAGGCATTTGCCCATATCTCTTAGTAGAATGGTTAAGGACATTTCTGGCACTCACCTGAAAATGTTCCATCTAATGGGTCTGCAGTGAGACCAGGCATGCGTATTTTCTAAAAGTCTCCCTGAGACTCTGGGCCACCCAGCCAGGAGCACCACCCAGTGTGTGTCCCATAGGGGACAGGCAGGGAAGTGAGACAGCAGTCGTGGAGACTCCCACCCATTCCCTCTGTCACTGCCACCAAAGGGAACAAGCAGAAAGGTGGACACAGCCCTCTTTAGAGGGGAGACAGGACAGGAGTGGGAGTGAAAAGGAGGAAACCCCACAACTGCTGGGGAAGGTAAAGAATTCCTTTCGTCACAGCGCTGGGGCAGCCGCTCTCAAATGCCCAAGCGACCCCGGGCCTCTTGGCAATGCCTGTAAATCAATTCACACAAGCCAGGGACTGCCTGTGTACTGTTAACTGACATACAATATTTTTCAGCCTAAAGCTCCAGCCCTCTTATTTTTAGTCACAGGACCCCAGCCCTACTGGAAAATCCCAAGGGAGCTGCATTGCTGCTGCAGAAGGAACTCGGTACCCCACATCCCCAAAGCTTGAGCCCTTGGTAAGCTATAGCTCTGGGGATGGCCACAAGTCTGTGTGGCCCCGGCAGGTATGCCAGCAAGGCAGCAGGAGCTGGAAAAAGACAGAGCTTTGCCCAGGGCCTCTTTCTGGATCTAGGAGCTGATCCCAGCCACATTATTATGAAAAGTTATTAAGTGATATTCAGTTACAGGATCATGGGGGAACAAAGAATGAGGCCCCGCACAGCCAAAACCATATGGTGGTGGAGGCTGCACGCACCTGCAGGAGAGCAGGCAGGCCTGGTTCGAAACCGTCATCAATTCTAGAAAAACCATAAAGTTTGGACTTGCTTCATGGCACTTTCTAATTAACTGTGCGGCCAGTTTTCTCCGCTTCCTTATAAAGGCCTCTTTCTTTCCTCCCCCTCTTCCTCTCTCACGGTCCAAGACATCTGGGAAGAAGGTTCCCACTAACACTCCCCACGCTCAGACCACAAAAGGCATAAGCAGGAAAACAGCACCTACCTCTGTGTCCAAAGCAAAAATAGGAGCGAATGTCTTAGAAAATTATCATGAGGAAATAATCCAAAAGAGGGAGAGGGAACCGTAGTGCTCTAACCGCAATAGCAGGGAGCTGAAAAACATTTGCATTGATGAACGGTGAGAAAATGGTTTAATCAACTCTATTTACCCAGCAGGCTGAATAAAGAATGGGAAGGTGAATGTAAATTCTACACGGTGACATGAAAAAAGTCTCACCATATAATATTCAAATAAAAATGTGGATGCAAAGATGGATGTCTGCTGTAGCTTTGCTGGTACTGTCACACACGGGCATAACTCTAAGTCCACCAGCTGACAAAAACGAAAGATGTCTTGGCTTGCTTATGCTAGGACTGTGGATTTTTTTCTTGCCTTTTGCTTAGAATTGTGTAAATGTTTTAAACTGTTTGTGGGGCACACAGTTTCAAGTAAAATGAAGAGGAAAATAAAAGTAAGAATTAGTGGTTTTTTAAAGTGAGGTAGGGGTAGAAGAGAAAAACAGATAGATGAGTTGGTCAGAGCCAAACCTCCTCCCAAGTTTTCCAGAACACAGCCACTTGAAGTGATTTCCATGATGAAGAATTCATTTTTCTCGGGCTGCTCATTTGCAGAAGACAGCAGAAGAACGAAAAGCATCTTGGAAGGGAGCAGAGGTTTCCACAAGACTTTCCCTGGGCAGGACAGTGATTGGACTCCAAAGTTACTGGTTGGCGGTTGCCAGGGTGAGGCTGGATCTGGCTTTTCTCACGTAACCTAACAGATGGGAGCTGAGCAGGTGGAGAAATGCCCGCCGCGGGCAAAGCCAGGCCTTGGTGCCCTGCGGATGAGCAAGCCTCGGCCCCAGCGCAAGGCAAGAAGGGGGATATGTGGAAAGAGTTCCTGGAAAGCTGCCTTGGGCCTCCCTCACCCAGGCCCCCATTCTGTCGGGCAGCTCCCCCGCACTTACTGGAAGACTTGGCCCCTCGGTACCCAACCACGGAGACAGTAAAGCCGGCTGTGCCTGGGGGCCGGACACTCTGTGCTTTGCAAAGATATAGCCTTCTAGGAAAACAAAATTTTATTCTCAGTTCATTCACAGATTCATTTCTGCTATCTCCGGGTTCAGATAAACCCAGAGCCAGAGGCTGGTCACTTTGATTATACTTGAGGATTGAATAAATATGTCTTCTGTTTAATATTCAAGAAACTCGTCAAAGGAGGACAATTCATCTTGGGGCTAGGTTTCGCCTTATCGCCGTGGCTGTGAGAGGAAGACCTGAAGAAAAGCTATGCATTCAAGTGAGGGGCAGCGTATGGAAACCGCCTGGGGAGAGAGCCCCTAGCCCTCACACTCCTTTGTGCTTTGGAGGTTGAGACAAGCTTACAAAATATCTCCTGTTCCAGCCCCAGAAGGGAGGTGGTGACACCCTGTGATATTTTCAGTGAAAGAAAACACATAAATGTTCAAGAAACAGCCTGGAACAATCAGGGTCATAATTCCTGGCTGCAGCAAACGGAAGGGCGGGAGCAAAAGAAGCCACGCAAGAGTAATTAGGCAATTGGTGACCGCGGGTCTGAGCCTGCAGTCACTGATAAACACCACATAAAATTTTTAAGGACCACACTGCAGGAAACAGAGCTTTGATATCTGAGAAGCAGTCAGACTTTGCCCTTGTGAGGAATCAACTCCAAGCTTGTAAAATACACCTGTGATTCCAGCATGATTTTATTGTTGTTCAAATGAACACGCTCAGCGTTCCCTCGCAGGCCTGTAGTTTGTAACTGCCATTTGTGCGTCTTCTTTTGAGGCATTGGCTTCTTGGTACAATGGGGACACTTCAGGGACAGTGAAAATAGTTTTACTCGTTGCTGTGTCCTGGGAACCCAGGGTGACATTAAATCCAGGGGCAGCTAACACTTCCCGGAGAAATAAATCCAAGAGATATAATTTTTTCTTACGCCCTGTAAGACTCTGCTTTCAAACAGCTTCGCTGTCTCAAAGCCCCCTCTCCACTCTGGTTTCATGGCACTGGCTTTGCATTTCAGCTGCCATGTGAAGAGCCAGTCTGCAGGGGACTCCCACCACCGGAAGCACAAGGAAGAATTCTTGCGTCCCCAGGGCGGGCTGTCCTTTCCCATTCTGTGGCCACATTTTCCCAAGCTCCTGCATCTTGTAGCTGAGCATCTTGGCTAAAAGAAAAGAAGGAAGGCAGAGACAAAGGAAGATGAGGGAACCCGACTGTAAATCATGGTAGATTTTATTTCTTTCTCCTTGATGAAGTGGAGATGGAATCTAACACTCAGCCATAGAAAGGCCTACAAAAGAAACAGATAACCTCATCCTAGGTCTCAGGACTTCACAGCAGTGTTGGCAGCATGAAAATGCTCCTGCCTCTAGCTGAAATGCCCTGCATCTTATTTCCACATCTGGCTCCTTCCTACCTGTTCCTCCAGATCAACTTCCAAACCATCCTCCCAGCCCCACAGGCATGAGACACTGCTTAGTGTCCTGTGTAAGAGCACAGACTCCAGCCAGACTCCTTGCATTCACACATCAACAACGCCACTCGGCAGCTGTGCAACCATGGGAAAGGCTCTCAACCTTGCTGTGCCAAGTATTGTGACCTACAAAATAAGGATACAGATAGCATCTATGTCACAGTCCTTCAAACTGTCTGTCAATGTATGTGCAGCGCTTACAGAGTACCTAGCATATAACAATTACTCAGTAATTGTTGACTACCCTACCCCCCATTATTACCCTGTTTCCTTTCTGACAGGATTATTCACATGCTCCCTCTTGGCACACCCATTCTTATAATATTAGGGCTGGGGATATAGCTCAATGGCACAGTGCCTGCCTGGTAAGCGCAAGGTTCAGAGTTCGATTCCCTATACCAAAAAAAAAACAGCCCAATCATTCTTATGAGATCTATTTTGGTTTGTATTCTTATTTGAAACCATATCTGTTCTTTAAGGGAAGATTTGGAACCCTATTCTTTTTAATTTTTTTTTCTTAAAGCTATCTCATAGAGACGAGGGATTGAGTACCATCTTGTTTCCCTGAAAATAAGCCCTAGCTGGTTGTTACCATAGTGATGGCCAGTGTCACATGGACGATTACATCTTGAGGTTCTCTTGCTTGGTGGCTACTCTATAAGGCAGGGAAGGCAAGATTAGGGTGGTTGTGGTTGGCATTTTTGATCTTTAGTTTTCAAAGTTGATTGTTTTCTGGGTAGGTCTGATTTTGGGGGAAACACAATAACTGAATGAAGAATCAAAGACTTAAAATGAAAGGAAATAAAAGGGGCATGAGGATATTATGCAGAGTGTTTGCCAAACATTTGAGAGGTCCTGGGTTCGATACTCAGCATAAGAGGGAAAAAAAAGATATGGCAGGATATGCAGCCTCTGTTCGATATGTACTCATGGACTATAAAAGGAAAAGTCAAACAAATGCCACAGAGGGCTTGCATTTTGAAAGAAAGGCATGAAACCAAGAGAGGGGAAAGAACCCAGGCTGCCCCAGGTCAAGGAATGATGTGAGGAGAGCAGTTGCCACCAACTCAGATGTGTGTGGAGCAGGTGAGTGCAATTGTGGAAAACTTTCTCCAAATCTCTAACCTCAGGAAATACTGCCTTATGGGGTGAGAGTTCACATCTTCCTTTGGCACCCGAATTCTCTCATCCTTTGTCCCCCCAGCCTGCAGCCCACACTGTCAGCTCCTTGCACTGCAGCCCTAATGCCCAGGACGGAGTAAAAGACAAACCCAGAGGCCCTGTGCTGTCCACCATACGGTGTAAGGGACACGTATGTCCTCAACAACCTCTGCTTCTGGTCCCTAGCCCTGAGCCCTCTCCCCCTCCCCCTCCCCCTGCTTCCTATGAGCCCTGTGTGACATTCTCTCCACCACAGTAGCAATGAACACTCCAGGAGGGGCCTCTTGATTGCGCCCCCTCTGCACCCAAGGGAGAGAGTCCCCGCACTCTAAGCGGCTCATGAAGGAGTAATTTACACACGTCCACCAGAGCGGGATTCTCATCAGCCAGCGCTCATCAGCCAGCACCTCAGAAATGACTCAGGCTGCTGAAGCTGGAGGTGAGCGCTACCCACCTGCACTGAAGGTCACCTGGGAGATGGTAGAGGTGGCATCCAGCGCATCTGCTCAGAGAAGGCGGTTGTCACATGCTGTCCTACGCATCTTGCAGGTCCACCTCACTGGATTTCACAGTGCAAAAGCCAAAAGCTACAATGTGAGTAGGAAGGGAAAGGTTAACAGGACAGGTGCTGTTCAGTTCAGTTCACTGCATGAAAATACCAAACAACTCCCTTCTCACTTTCCGTTTCACTGTAACATTGCTGATTTAAATAAAAGCTGAGGGGAAAAAAAAGAAAAGAAAAGCTGAGAAGAAAATTAACCACAATCTTTAATCAAGTTGTGTAGAATATGGCTGTTTGGAATGTTACGATCTGACATGTCTGTAACAATAAATGCAGGCATGAATAGTATGAAGACTGTTACCACAGATTTTTCTTCCTCTGCTTTGGATTTTCTACTACCATCCAGCCACAGATGTCCAATAGCTAGCCACCTCCGTGACACTTGGGCCTGCAGAATGACCCAAGAAGCCAAACAGAAGGCACTGGCATATTTCTTACTGAAAAAGACTTTGAAGTCCTGGAGCTTGAAAGACTCCATGTAATTGCAAATTGTCATCATAATACAAATATGTCTGGGGAGACAAGTCCAAGGGAAAAGTGGATTTTCACCAAGGACTGAGCCCTTGAGTTCCATGATCAAACACACATTTCAAATTTCCCAAGCCTGGCGTGTTCACACCCCAGCATGTGCGGTCCGTCTGGAAGACATGGTCAGCAGAGGCAGACAGGGACTGCTGACCAGAGGGACCTGGACGCTAGGATAGGCCTGCTGCTACCAACAGCGTGGGATTCGGTTCAAGCTGCTGAAGTCCTTTGAACTTGTTGTCTATTGTGAAAGCCCTCTGAAGGAGAAGAAAGGGCTATGTCATAGAGCTGGACAAGGAATCAAACAGTAGTTGCACAACTTGGGATGTCCCTTTGGTCACTGCCCTGACATTTCCGTGCCATCCTCAGATACATAAACCGTAAGAATCAAATCAAACAATAGAAGAATATCAAAATGTGTTCAAAGAAGATTCTCTGTCCACCTCTTCATAACTGTCTTGATTTAAGATCCATATCAGATTCAGGAGAATAGATACGCTCTCTCTCATGACTTCTGTCATCATTGTCAGCATTTGTTATGGTAGCAGCACACTTGCTGACCTGCTACACTTACAAAGCTCTGTACTAGGAAATCAGAGAGAATATAGAGGCCCCTAGTCATGGTGTTCATGAGGGTTTTACTGAAAGATAAAACATCATTTATGCCAGGCATGGGAGCAAACACCTATAAACTCTGAAGCAGAAGGATCACAAGGTTAAACCCAGCCTGGGCAACTTATGACTCAAAATTTAAAAGCAAAAATGAAAGGGCTAGACATGTAGCTCAGTGCAAAGGCTCTGGGTCCAATACCCAACACAGAAAATTTTTTTCATTGATATAAATAATAACACAACAAAACAAGGACCAGATGGTGGCCTGGATATGAATAGATGGTTTGGTCAAAATTTAAGTGCCCTGCATATAGGTAAGGCTGTGCTTTGACCCTTTGTAACCCTGTGCTTTGAACTTTTATAGCCCCGTGCTTTGAACCTTGTTCCCTTCCACATTCCTAGGAACTACTCCCCATCACCATCCCTTGTTTTTCCAATATATACAACCAGCTCCCCTCCACTAGGTACTTGTTATATGCCGGATCTTTAAAGGCTCAAGTATTTTCCACTCAAAACAAAATCTTCATCCAGTCTCTTCCTGCTCCTGCCCCCAGCCACTATTCTTAGGCAAACACTTCCAAAGACTCATCCATCCTGATTCTCTCCATTCCCTCCTTCTCACTTACTCCATAAACCTAACCTGCCAGCCCCCAGCCAGGGGACCAGCCACTAAGGTGAGCAGGGACCACCTGCTATCAAACCATAGGAACACTTTGCAGTCCACATTCTTCTTGACTCCTCAGCAGACTTTCATTCGTAAGTAAGCAATTTTACTGATGCAGACAGCCAAGTGCAAAAATTATGAACACAAATGTTTATATATGAATGCACCCCTTACAATAGCCATTTGGATAACCAAAACATTGCCATCTCCTTAGAAGCCCCCAGTGGCCCTGCTAGTTGCTACCCCTTCCAAGAGGTAACCACTAGCAGTGGCTATTGAGCATGTCTTCCAGACCCCACCGAAACTGAAGCACTCGTTCCTCAGCTACGAGCAGGGTCAGGGACCAATAGCTCACAACCTAGTCAGTCTCCCAAGATTTCCTGAGATGAGTAAGACCTTACTCAAGGTCCTGCACCTCCAGGAGGCATCCTGCACCAAAGGAGTGGTTGTCATATAAACAACTGAGGCATAACGATCCACCCATCCCCACCCCACCCCAGGGGTAGTGGCACACGCCTGTATTCACAACACCAGGGAGGCTGAGGAAGGGGGATTGTTATGAATTCAAGGACAGCCTGTGCTACATAGTGAGCTCAAGGCCAGCCAGGACTCCATAGATAGACCCTGTCTCAAAAATAAAAATGATAACAAGATCCAGTCCCCCTCCCCCTACCCAGTGGAACCTGAAGGCCCACAGCATTTCCAGAGTTGTCCCCTAGGTTAGCCAAGCCCTGGCAGTGGTTTCATCACAGCTGACACTTTCCTCCTGCCCTGTGTGGCACTCTTCACCTCCTACAGGTTCTGACTCTCAAACCACAGCCCTAATGGACTGCCTGCCCACAAATCCCTGCTGTCTGGAACACCAAAATGGGATGCCACTCGTCCAACCCTAATGTCATAGACACTTCATGGGGCTTTGAACTTCATGATAAATGCAAGCCTGCTGTGTGAACTTTCTAGTGCCTGAGGTCTTCTCGTTGTTGTTTTTGCTATTGTTTTGCACTTTGGGTACGTGAGATTTAAACATGTTGCACACAACCGTAATTCTTTATCTTTCACTGTTACTTATGCCATTTAAATAAACATACCAAAATATATTTGCACTTTTACTATTCTTAGTCTTTTTGATCTTTTCTCATTTGGGGTTATTACGAATAATGAACTTTCGTGTGTCTGTCTTTTACTGCACATAGATAAGAATTTCTGTTGGGTACAAGTGCAATCTGTTATGTAAGATATATTTATGTTAGCTCTAGCGGATATTGTTAAGGAATGTCCAAATGGTTTGCACCAATGTGTACTTCGATTAGCAGAATGTGAGAGAATTCCCAGAATTCCCACTGGATTTGCTACTTGGATGTTCCCAGAAAAGATCTGGCAACCCCTGACCTAAGCTAGAGGATGAGAGCAGCAAAAGTTCTAAGGCAGAAAAGGACCTGATATGCTTTGAATGCAGGCTAAGACCATCAGTTTGTTTAGGGAAAAACATGCAGTTTATGTCGGAGGTCAGCAAATGTTTCCTATAAAGGGTCAGATGGTGATGTCAGGCTTTGCCTACTCAGTCTCTGGTATGACTCAGTTTAGCCTTGGTAGCTCAAAAGCAGCCATAGAGAATGAGTGAAAACTGGAGTGGATGTGAGCTGGAAACTTTAACGAGGAATACTGAAGTTTGAATTTTATATCATTTTCACCATGTCACAAAATCTTATTTTCTTTTTGATTTTTTTTCTCGCAGTAGTTTTAAAAAAGCATAGGAACCATTCTCATCTTCCAGGATACATGAAGCCACAGTGGGGTGGGTTTGACCCAAGGACCATAGTTCGCTAACTCTTTCTGAAGACTGCAGAGTTTTGAATAAAAATCTGAATTTTATTTGGTAAGAAAAACATTTAAGATTTTTAAGGCTGAGTATAATGGGTATAGAGGAATACTTTAGGGAAACAGGTGGTAGCAACGTTAGGATGGATGGAGGGGGGAAGAGTGGAGGTGGGAGGACCAGTAAGGAGGCAGCATTCATCTGCCTGGAATTGCAGTGAAAGAGACAGGCATAGATAGAAAGGTATTAGGAAGAAGTAAGAAAAGGATCTGATGGCTGAGAGAGAGAGAGAGAGAGAGAGAGAGAGAGAGAGAGAGAAGCACCAGGGTTTTGAGCATGGGAGTCAGGAAAAGTGAGAACCTGCTCATGCCATGGCAGGAAGAGAATGGGGCTTAGTGTTTAGGGACTGGGGGTATAAGGCCTGGGTCTAAAACATATCTCCCCAAATTACCAGCTGCAGAAGAAGATTAATAACAGCACCTACCTTATGGGGTAGCCCCTTTTCTGTTGCTATAACAAAATGCCTGAGACCAGGTAATACATAAACAAGAGGTTTATTTTGGCTCACAGTTCTAAAGCTGTAAGTCCAAGATCAGGTGGACTCACCTGGCAAGGACCTCATGCTGCTTCAAATCCCACTGGAAAGCAGAAGGATATGTGGATACATGCACAAGAGGCAAAACAGGAGGGGCAGCTTGCTTTATACCAAGTCTCTCACAGTGACTGACCCAGGCTTGCAAGAAAGCCATTAATCCCCCTAAAGGCCTGCACCTCTCAACAGCATTCCACTAGGCACCCAGCCTGCACACGTGTTTGGTAGACAGAGTCCATGGTCAGACCATAGCAGAGGCCCAAGCAGAACCTAGACACACTGAGCATCCAAGAAGGATGAGCCTTTATTATCATGACTGCTTTTAAGGAAACTAGAGAACACCTGGAAAGGGTACCCACTGGCACAGCGGCAAAATGAATTTGCCCAGCATTATTGTCCTGTAAGAGCTCTCTCTGTCTCTGTCCCTACTTCTCTGCATCAGGGTAGGAAGAATAATTTTCTGATTAATGCTTCTAGGATCAATGGGTAAAATCCCAACTTTCTATTTAAATGGAGTTGACCTAAATCTGCTGAATGGCAGTGTCTTCAGGGGCAGCCCCCGGTGCTTTTCAAGTGGTATTGATTGCACTGCCTGAAAAACCCTCTGGCTTATGGAAATCTCCTCCTCACTGAGACTGGTGCGAAGCCTCCAAATTGCTCCTTTCAGGCTGTGGAGAAAGAGGGGCCGCTCATCCCTGAAAAAGGGCATGAGCTCCCTGTTGCCTTTAGCTCTGCATTGTACCGGCCGGGCTCGTACCCTGCAGAGTTGCTCATCTTCCAATCCATGCACAGTGACTGGGGGTCATTCTTGCATAA